GCTCATTTAGCAAACACAAGGCCCTGAACTCAACCCACAGCACCAACAAAAAACCTACAAAAATCCAAAATCCAAAATGCTCCAAATCTGGATTCCTTTAAGACAAAACTGATGCCACAAATGGAAATTTCTACATTTGACCTCATGTGACAAGTCAAGTTAGGGTGCAGACACATTAAATATATGGTGGAAAACAACCTTCAGGGTATGGTTAAATGTTGTATATGAGGCAAAAGTGAATATTGTTTTTAGACTTAGGTTCCTACACCCAAGAAATTATGCCTATTCAAATGTATCAAAATATAAAAAATGCAAAATGAAACAATTTGAGTGTCAAGAAGTATGGATAATCAACATCTACTATTTTTCACAACTAAATTTTCATGTAATATTATCACATATTAAACAAATATATGCACTCTGATTTAATGCCTGTTACATAAACAAATAAGTGAGTATCTGTTGGTAGTCACCTCTTCTCCCCTCCAGTCACCCCACCCCTCCTCCCCCATTTCCAGGCTGAACGTATTCTGCCCTTATTCTCTGATTTCATAGGAGAGAAAATATAAAAAACAGTAATAAAGGTGTAGCTTTTTTCTAGTTTGACATAAAGATAACTGTACAGAGAGACTTCTAGTGGTGCTTCCTCGCACATGTGTATTGCAACCCACATTGGTTCATCTTTACCAGACCTCTTCACTACTTCCTAGTCCCCTTCCCATAGTGGCCTCTGCCAGATTAAGATTTCTATGTTCACTCTTCTACAGTGATCACATCAACCACATTCAAGTTTTAGGTTGCCATCTCTTTCCCTGTTCCTGCCATGCACATACTGCTCTTAGTGTGTGACCCGTGTCTAATAATATTACTGCATTTGTTTTCAGACTCTAATTCACATATGAAGGAGAACATGAGATTTTTGGCATTCTGAGCCTGCTAACTTTGTTTGAGACGATGTTCTCCAGTTCCATCCACTTCTTTGAGAATGGCAAATATTCATTCTTGTGACTGAATAAAATTCCATCATGTATGAATACCATATAGTCTTAATCCATTCATCTGTAGTGGGGCACCTTGGCTGTTTCCATAGCTTGGCTATTGTGAATAGTGTGCAGTTAACATGGGTGTGCAGGTGTTTTTGTAATAACCTCAGTCACATTCCTTTAAGTATATCCTTTGGAGTGGTATTGCTGGATCATATGGCAGATACATGTTTAGTTTTTTAAGAAGCCTCCCTATTGTTTTGCATAGTGGTTGTACTAGCTTACTTTCCCACCAGCTGTGTATAAGGGTTTCCTTTTTCCTTCATCCTCAGCAATATTTGTTGTTGCTGGTGTTTTTGATGATAGCTATTCTAACAGGAATGAGGTGTAATCTTAGTGTGGTTTTGATTTGCATTTCATTTATAGCAAAGGATGGTGAACATTTTTTCATGTATTTTTGGCCATTTGGACTTCCATGGAAAAAGTTCTATTTACTTCAGTTGGCCAATTTATTGGTTCCTTGATTTTTGGAGTTTAAGTTTTTGAGCTTCCTTTGTATTCTGATTATCAGTCCTTTGATATTTAGCTAGCAAATATTTTCTCCCACTCTGTGGGTGGTCTCTTCAATTTAGAAACCCTTTCTTTTGTTGTGCAGAAGCTTTTTAATTTCATGTAGATTCATTTGTCCATCCATTCTCTTTGTTACTTGTCCACTTGAGTTCTAGAGAATAAGTCAATACCTGTACCTATTCCTTCCAGAATATTCCCTGCTATTTTTGTACTAACTTCAAGGTTTTGGGTATGGTATTAAGGTCCTTAATCCCCGTTGAGTTGATACTAGTGCAGCATGATAGACAAGGATCTAGTGTCAGTTTTCTGCAGGTAGATAACCACTTTTCCTAGCAGTATTTGTTAGAGGCTGTTTTTCTCCATTGAATGTTTTTGGAGCCTTTGTCAAAATTAAAGCAGGCATATTTGTGTGGATTCATATCTGGGTTCTCTATTCTGTTCCACTGGTCTTCAGATCTGTTTTGTGCTGGTACCAGGCTGTTTTTATTTCTATGGCTCTGTAGTAGTGTCTGAAATCAGGTTTTGTGATACCCCCAGCATTGCTCTTAATCCTCTGTATTGCCTTGGCTATTTGTGGTATTTTGTGTTTCCAAAAGAACTTTAGGGTAGATTGTTAAATCTTTGGTGAATGTCATGAATTTTGATGGGAATTACATTAAACATGCAGATTGCTTTTGGTAGTATAATCATTTTTATTATGGTGATTCTGCCAATCCGTGAGCCCTGGCAATCTTTCCACCATCTGTAGTTTTCTTTGATATCTTTCTACAGTGGTTTGCAGTTCTCTTTGCAGAGGTAATATACAATCTGTGGTAAGTTTATTCTTAGGTATTTGATCTTTTTTGATGATATTATAAATGGAATTGTTTACCTATATTCTTTCTCAATTTTGTCATAGTTGGTGTAGAGAAAGCCTTCTAATTTTGTAAGTGATTTTGTATCCTGCTACATTGCTGAAGCTGTTTAAGGTGTCTAGTATTTTTGGGTGGAGTTCTTTGAGTCTTTGAGGAAAATATCATGTCATCTGCAAATAGGGATATTTTGGCTATTTGTTTACCTATTTGTATTGTATTTATTTCTTCTTGCCTTTTTGCTCTGGCTAGGAATTCCAGGACTATGTTGTATAGGAGTGGGAAGAGTGGACATCTTTGTTCAGACCTAATGGGAAATGGATTCAGATTTTTCCCCATTAAGTATGATATTGGCTGTAGGCTTGTAATACATAGAATTTACAATGTTGAGGTGTATTCATTCTATTCCTGGTTTTCTTAGACTTTTTTTTTTTTTTTTACTTTAGTCAATATGAAGTTTTATTAACACACATTTGTCAAAGTCTGTACAAACCAAAACATTCCTTTGTTTTAAAATGTCCATTATTACAAACATACAAAGAAACAAAAGGTGTTACCAAAAGTTAGGTACTCAATTTCATGGTAAAATGGTGTCATGATTTTTAAAAATCAAAATTTCAAGACTGATGTTTCATTTTTCCCTTTTAGGAACTTATGGAAAGTTAGAAAATGTGTGGGTCTGCTTTATATTAAATGCCAAGACCTTAAAAAAAAGATTTAGTATAAAACTAAGAATATGCTTTTATATTATCATACTACATGTATCAGAATTGCTCAGTCTTTAAAATTAAAAAAAAAATTGACGGTCATTTTTTCACCATCTTTCCCTATAGCCAATGCAAATAAATGCATCTGAAAAATATTACCCTGACATTTATTATCTTTACCTAAAAGTTTCTCATTCAAAAAATTACAAAAGCTATTTAGCACTGTGGTTTCCCTTGCTTAAAAGGGAAAATTACATTCCCTACCAGGGTGATATGAAAGCAACATGGTCCACTGTATCTCTTATCTGCAGGAAGCCACCCATGTCCACATCTCTTTCTGATTATGTGCGTGGCTCCACTATGAGAACACTATCACAAATTACAGAACCTTTGCTATTAAGAAGTCACTTCTGTTACAATTTTGGGACACTGAGGTACAAATGTCATCTGCTCTCATGATTATAAATTACCTCTAACTGCACTGGGCAGTTGGCTTTGTTGTTTCATGGCACATACCACACATCCCTAATTCCTTTCACAAACATTACATAGAGAACCTGAGAGTATGGCTAGAAATGCAAATCTATCCCCATTTCTGAAGAAATAAATCCATGTGCCAATTGGGTCAATGACGGAAGACAGGGCACATACAACTCTGGTTGAGGCTACATTGCTTCTGAGAAGCACTTGTTTTCAATATATTTCCATTAAAAACAAGGAACGTCTAGGCAGGGACAAATGAGGAGTAGGAAGAAGGTACAGTGTTACTTCTCCCAATCAGACTCACAGTCCATACTTCAGTAGTTCATACTGAACCTCATAATGCTCTATAATTCAAATATTATCCCATTTTGAATATGCTCATGAAAAAATGTTTTCTGACAGTAACCTGGTGTAACAACTGATAAAAGCAAGTAAAGGGTATTTTTTTAAAAAAGAAATGGCAGTGTTAAAATTTAAAATAGGTCACATTAAAGAAGAAGGAAAGGAGTGGGGAAGGGAAGTGTCCAGTATAACCTGGACAACCTTTCTTTCTGCCCTTACTTAAAAAGACAGACTGTTTAAATCTTTGCAACCTCCTTAAGTATCTCCTTAAATGCTCTTCCAAGAAATCTTCCAAAAGGCACTTAACTCCACACTTACATGTCAAATATTTTACCTTAGCAATCAGTTTTTAAGACTCTAAGGTAACAAGAAAAAAAAGATTTGATTCTTTTACTAAAAGCTAGAGAACAGGACTGGATTTTTTTTAAGAGGCATCACTTTTACAAGAACTAGCTAAGCTACCTTTATTCCTTTATCAAGAAAAAGTTTCTTTTTTTAAAAAAATAAATAAAACTCTGGTTATACATAGTACAAAGTTCATACATAATATACCTGGAAAAAAACCCAAGAGTATACCCTGAAGCAAAAGGTTTATTGGAGAGAGAAAGCCTCTCTCATTGTACCAAGTCTTAAAGGTGGCAGTTTTCAAAGTTCAGAGGGTGGCAGTGATATACAATTAATGCCAAACTACTTGCTCATGGATGGCAGGATGCAATGATGGACAGAAAACATTCTGCACATGACACTGAGCAGTGACCACCACAAAAAAAAAAAAAAGAATAGTATCAAAATAAAGAGAGATAGAGAGAGAGAGGGAGGGAGGGAGGGACAGACAGAGGTAGGAAGGAGAGGAAGAGAAGAAAGGAGCAGTATGAGAGAGAGCCTGAAACCCCAAATGCTCAAGCATGCAGTCAAAACACAAAACAAACAAGATGTTTCCATTCAGCCCACTACAATCACACAAAGAAGGATAACTGCAATAAAATAGAGATTTCTTAAAGCTTGCAATTCCCAGAGAACAGCCAGGTCTCCAACCCTAACCCAGGACAGCTCCATCTGCTGGTGCTGGGGGCCTCTTGTGGTCTGTCATGGAGAGGTTATAGCTCCTGACTTCTCCGACTTCTTGCTCTTAGACAAGGCAGCTTCCTGCTTCAGGAGCTCTCGGTTTTTGGCCTGTAATTGTTCTGTGACTTCTTTATGGGTCTTCTCCATTTGGTTCATTTTGGCCCTCATCTGAGATTCCTGGTATTGAAAATCAGCCTTCAACTCTGTAATCTTTTTCTCTTTCTCTAAGATCATTTGATCTTTCTGATGCAACATCTTCTTCAAAGTAGCCACCTCTTCCTTCAGCTGGGCAATGATGACAAAGTGATCAGTGCCTGGTGAGTCCAGAGCCAGGTCTGGGGAAAAGCTGTCTCCATTAGTTGTGATTGATTCAAACTTGGATTTTTTCTTTGGGATTTCATTTTGAATTGAAGATGTAGAAAGTGTTTTCTGGCTGTTGTAATGACTGCCACTACTCAGGCGGCTATACTACTCCTTCTCCTGATGGCTGGCACGAGAAGAACTGCTCAGGTGTTTCCTCTGCTCTTTAGTGTTTTGAAGGACACGTTTGTATGACAGTGTGCACAGCCAGCACAACAATTTCCCATCTACCTTCTTCCTGTCATCTTTCCTGTCAAACGCACACTGCTGCTTGCACTGTTCACAGGAATATGGTGGTCCATACTTCTTCTCTGAATTTGTGCAGCGCTGGCATTTATTGCCAATAAATGCTGCAATTATGTTGCAATACTGACAAGGTTTGGGCGTTCCATACAACTGCACATTCTGAGCACATTTCTTGCATATTGTATTGGTTTTACTCTCCTGCTGGTATTCAGTTCTGCAGTAGGTGCACTTCACAACAGGGTGTGCAATCCGACATTCCTTGCACAGCTGCTGCCCCTGAGATAGCGCCTCGAAGGGGAAGCGCTGGTGGCACTTGGTGCAGGCGTAGAGCGCCGCCATGTCCAGCCCCGCCAGTGATCACCGCCCCGCCGACCCAGTCCGCCGATTTATCTGACAGTCTGAGGCACAACCTGGCGGCGGCGGCGGCGGCAGGCAACGAGCTCTTTCTTAGACCTTTTATAATGAAGTGGTGTTGAATTTTTTTGACTTTTTCTGCATCTATTGAGGTGATCAAGAGTTTCTGTCTTTGCTTCTGTTTACGTTTTTTGATTTGCAAATGTTGGACCACCCTGTGCATCCCTGAGATGAAGCCAACTTGATCATGATGAATGATTATTTTGCTATTTCATGAGATTTGATTTCCCATTATTTTATTGAGGACATTTACATCAATGTCCATTAAGGAGATTGGCCTGTAGATCCTTTTGATCTATTGTTGCTTTTATTGTTATGAAGTGTCTTTCTTTGTCTTGTTTGACCAATATAATTTTGAAGTCTACTTTACCTGATGTAAATATTGCTACTCCTGCCTACCTTGGGGGACCATGGGTTTCTTCAATCTTCCAGCCTTTCAGCATTAGACAGTGTTTATTTCTTTCAATTAGATGTGTCTCTTATAAACAACAGATTGTCAGATATTTCTTTTCAATCCAGCTACCCAAATGGTGACTTTTGAAGGCGGAGTTGATTCCATTGACATTCAGTGTTAACATTGATTGGGATTTGGTGCTTCTTGTCATTTAATTGTTTTTATTGAATACATGCTACTCTCCCATTTCTTGTCATCTCCTGTGATTTAAAGTTCCTGTCCTGTCTTGGTTTTGTTTGGTTTCTTCTATTGTTTGCAGAATTCCCTGTAGTGGTGCCTTGGTGGTCATATTGTGGTTTTGTTTCTGTTTATTGTGGAAGATTTTTATTGATTGTAAATTTTGAATGATAGTTTTCTGGGTAGAGTATTCTAGTGCTGAAAGTATTTCATTCAGTTCCTGAAAGACCTCACTCCATGCCCTTCTTGCTTTTAAGGATTCTGTTAAATCTGCTGTTATTTTGATGGTTTACCTTTATACTTTGTTTTTCTGTCTTAAGCCTTCGATATTCTTTCTCTGTACTCTGTGCTTATTTTAATAACAATTTGCATGGGGAGGTTCTAATTTGTTCATGTCTATTTGGTGTTCTGGAGGCTTCTTGTACCTGAATGGGCAAGGTTTTCTTGAGATTTGGGAATTTTTAAAAATTTTATTAATGTATCACTTATCCCTTCAGCTTGCAGCTCTTCTCCACATTCAATGCCCATGATTTTCATGTTTGGCCTTTTGATGGCATTGCTGATTCCTTACATATTCCTTTCACAGCTTTTGGTTTGTTTGACTAAGGTTTCTTCTGATGTTTCTTTAATTTCCTTTTATCTTTGGACTCTGAGATTCTGTCTTCCACTTGTCCTTCCTTCTGTTTATATGGTATATTACACTTATGAATTTACATATGTTGAACCATCCTTGTGTCGGTAGAATAAAACTGACTTTGTTGTTGTGTATGATGTTTAGAAATGTTGTTGAATTCTGTTTGCCAGTATTTCATTGAGAATCTTTGCATCTATATTCATTAAAGACATTGGTCTATAATTCACTTTTCTGTTTATGTTTTTATTTTGTAATGAGTGTAATACTGTCTCCATAGAATGAATTTTGTAGGGTTCCTTCTCTTTACAGTTCCTGGAAAAGTTTGATGAGTATTGGTGCAGTTATTCTATAAACATTTGGTAAAATTAAGCTGTGAATCTATTAGGTTCTGGATCCTTCTGAGTAGGGAGATCCTTTATTACTGCTTCAATTTCATTGTATATGGTAGGATTACTTAGGTGTTTAATATATTTTGGCTCAATTTTGATTAGCTATATGCATGTAGGGTTTTACTCTTATTTGACCCAGAGAGACTACATATACTTGGGTCTGTTAATGAATGTGTTCATTTTTGCCACTAACCACTTGTACTATAAAGACATACATAAACTATAAAATGCTATGAAACACTTGTAAAATGGGAATTTTATTTGTCATGGTCAAAGTTAACTAAGATTTGTTGATTTATTCATTACATGTTAAGAAAGAGGTTCATTATCAAATATTGTACTGTCATGAAACTCTTGTTTAGTTTTCTCTGTTAAAATGAATCTCCTTTTAGATCATTGGCTTGCTCTTATTATGCAACAATTAAATATTTTTCTCTAAAAAATAAAATTTACCCAACCATGTTTCAACTAGTCAGGAAGAAATTGAGTTTTCGGTGAGGTGAGTTGTGAGGTGAATGAATGCATTTTTTTTCTTGAATTTGTAACATCTACCATATTTGCACTAGTTTTCATATTTATTATAAGGGCAGATGGACAAACATAATAATGTTCTCTATCAATCTATGTATCTACCTAGCTTTCTGTATCTATATATCTATGTATATGAATAGGTATATAAGATTATATGAGTATTTATGTGGTCATGTACCTTTTAGGTCTCGTTTCCACAAATGAGTTAAAACATGTTACTTTTTTCCTTCTGAGCCTGGATTACTTCACTTACCATGAGTTTCCCCAATTACCTGCCAACAACATAATTTCATTTTCTTTATGCTTGAGTAATACTCCATTAGGTATATATACCACATTTTCTTAATGCATTCATCAGTCATCGATATTTGGGTTGCTTCCAAAACTTTGCTATTGTGAATAGTGCTGTAATAAACGTGGGCGTGCAAGTCATACCCTGACTTACATTGCTTTAGGTTTCTGCCCTGGAGTAGTACTGCTAGATTGTAAAGTAGGTCTGTTTTTCATTTTTTGGTGAATCTCCATACTGCTTTTCATAGCAGCCTGAGGAAAAAAGATATCAAGAGATCTTTGAAATAGAGGATATAAAAGTTGTCATTAGTATTGGCTAAAAAATGCTCTGTTGAGCACAAGACTGGAACCCTCAGAACAAGAAATTACTATATTTTGATCTTATGTTCTTTTTATTTAATTAGCAGTTTGTAAGAATTCTGTTTCCTCTCATATCAAAGTAAATGTCAGTTGTTACTTTCTCAAAGTTCTCTTAAAAATAAATAGGTTGACTTAAGCATATAATTCTATTTACATGGGAGGTGAAGATCAGTATTGTGGTTCAAGACCAGTCCAGGGAAAATGTTCTTAAGTCCCCATCACAAACAATGGTTGGATGGAATAGAATACACCAGTCATCATAGCTATGTTACACAAAAAGGATTATGGTGCTACAGGCCACTTTAGGCTCCAGTTGAATCATATTTCATAAGTAAACAATGCAAAATGGGCCTTTGGAGAGTCTGAATTGGTAGAAAACCTACATAGTAAGTGTGAGACCATAAGTTCAGCCCTCCAGTACTGCCAATAATCAGTCACAGGTTGGAATATCAGAAATTGCCAATGTGCGAAGTGTACATCATAAGTGTTTCTTCCCAGCTGCCTTATATCACACTGAGTTAGGTTTCTTTATTGATACGGAAGGTCATAGTCACATGTCACACTCCTCCTAAGGAAAAAAAAACAAACTTGGGTGCTAAGACTCTTTATGTAATTTTTAGCTAGACAAGATTCTGACAGCACAACTTGGCATAGTGAGTCCATCATTCCTGCAAGCATCAGTATTTCAACTGCTTCTCTTCATAATGTAGGTTTTATCAGACAGTAGTGTGCATAATTGATCATTGGCTTTTCCTCTTACCACAAGGATTATATTTTCTTATTCAGCTGGGTGTCCACAGACCAATGTAAAATCTGGTTATCAAATAGGTAACTGCAAGTGAAGTCTAAGTGTAAGGATGTTTTTAAATGAGAGATAGATTCATTTGATCTTAGAATGTGGACCTTAAATAGGATGAGATGTATGCCTACATTAAATGTTTAATAACTTTGGGAGATATTCATTTTGCATACTTTAAATATATGCATTTTGGAATGTAAGGTTGTGTTTTAGTGTAAGAGGTTATACTCATGGGTGATTTCTTCACCTGTTTTTTTACTGTATTATTGAATCATCTTTTTGGTTCCACAGGAAAACTTCCCATGGAACTGCGGCTCCCTCTTTTGCTCTAAATTAAATATTCATTTTTCTAAATGAGATCATATCCATTAATGTGGCAGTGGATGTACAACACCAATATAATCAGTAGATATCATCCAGGTCACAGATCATTTCAATCATCATGATCAAAGAATTTAAAGGAAGCTCAAAAATCTACTCACAAAGTATCAGCAATCCAATGAAAAAATGCACAAATAAACTGAATGGAAATGTTCAAAATGAGGAAGTCCAAAGAACAGAAAATCATGAAGAAATCCTCAATGTCCATGGCCATCATGGAAATGCAAATCAAAACCATTAAGATTCCACCACACTCCTGTATGAAAGTCTACCTTCAAAAACACACAACAAATGTTGGTGGGTATGTGGTGAAAATGGAATTTTCGTAACACTGCTGGTGGGGATGTAAACTAGTACAAGCACTATGGAAAATGATATGAAGTCTCCTCAAAAAATAAACAATGAACTAACATATGATCAGGTAATACCACTCATAGGTATATATCCAAAAGTAGGTAAGTCAAGATTCTATAAAAGCACTAGAATGCCTATATTTATTTCAGCATTATTCACAATTGGCAAGCAATGGAAACAGCCTAGATGCCCTAGAACTGATTAATGAGTTGAGAAAATATGATAGATAGATGATATATAATGGAATTTTACCCATTTGTAAAACAGAATGAATTTTTTTCTTATGCAGGTAAATGATGGAACTGAGGAATATCATGTTAAGTGAAGTTAGCCAGATCCAGAAAGACAAATGTTGCATGGTTACATTCATGTGTGGAATATAGATCATAAATATTAGAGGAGAGGAGTCTAAGGGAGGAAGGAAAGGAGAAGTGAATGAAGAAGAGAGTGAATAATGCTGAAATGCATTACAACTCTATAGTAATAAGACATAATGAAACTCATTTAAAATTGTTGGACTCTAGAGTATTTGGGAAAATGGAAGGAAAAGTAAAAGTGGGGTTAAACTGATTAAAGCACAATATATTTTCAAGTAAAATGCCCAGGAAAAATCCACTGTAAAATGAACACACACTTAAATGTTGAAGAACAATAATCTAAAACAGCTCATGTTAAGGGGAAGGTACAACTGGGAGGATTCAATACATTTATGAATATGGAACATTTAAAGCTGTTGAAGTCAAAGAGGAGGGATGGGAAAGAGTGACAAAAATGTAGCAAATTAACAAAACTGATACATTGTATGACTGTGGAAATAGCACACAAAGGCACTATACAACTCATATACTAATAAAAATAAATTAAGTTAAAAAGAAAAAATCGCTAGTACCAATGCCACTTAAATTATTACACAATTTTGAAACTGGGAAATACTATGAAACTGGTCAGACAAAGTCAATATTAGAACAATTACCAAGATTAACATAGATGTGAAAATTATCAATAAAATATTTGCAAACCAAATTCAAGAATACATTACAATTGTCCTAAACTATGATGAAGTTGGTTCATTCCAGGAATGCAAGGATGGTTAAACCTATGTAAACAATAGATATGAAACATCACATCCATTGAGAGAATCCACCATCCCTCTATGATAAAAAGCCACGGCAATGTGGTTGGACTTGGGTCACATAATAAGGTGAAAGCACACAAGGGTGGTATGGGGATAGGTAAGAAACCCAAAGTATGATAGTGTTTGATGTCCTCACTGCAAAGGAACTAATACAGAAATTTTAAAGCAACAGAAGTCAATCAGGAACTAGAAAAAAGGACAGAGATGAATCAACTTAGAATGTAACACATTTGTACATGGAAGCAATGCTAGGGATCTCCGTATAACTTATCCTTAACTAGCAAAAATGCTTTGTCTTCCTTATTGTTTATAGTCTCTTCCTCAAAATTAGAGATAAGGGCAGAAAAGATTCTGCCTGGAAGTGAGGGGGAGAGGGAAGGGCTGAGGGTAGAAGGGAGAAATGGCCCAATTTATGCACATATGAATAAATGAATGAATAAAAAAGAATATATAGTTAAGAATAGATATAATATTAACTTAGATCCAACATCACCCAAAATTGACAAAAACAAACCATTCCCTTTAAATTCAGGAATGAGTCAGATGTATCCACTCTTTATTCAATGAACTGCTAGAAAACTTAGGCAAAAAAGAAAGGAAGAGAAAGAAATAAAAGGAATACAGACTTAACAGGAAGAGCTGAAATTATCCCTGTTTATATGATCCTATACTTTATAGTCCATAGATACCTCATCAGAAAACTCTTAGATCTAATAAGCATTTTCAGCAAAGTAACAAGGCACAAAATCAATGTAAAAATCAGGACCTGTTTTTATATGCCAGTAATGAAGAGGCTGAGCTGAGAAAGAAATCAGGAAGACCATCACATTCCCAGTTACCTACTAATTAAGCATGTAGGAATAAACCTAACAAAGGGGATAAGAGACCTCTACAATGAATACTGGAAAACATTGAAGAAATAAATTGAAAACAAAAGGACATGAAAAGATATCCCATGTTCATGGATGAGCAGAATTTATATGGTGAGAATGGCAATATTAATAAAAGTAATCTACATATGCAATGCAATGACCATCAAAATCCCAATGTCATTCTTCACAGAAACAAGAAAATCAACCCTACAGCTTATATGGAATCATACCCCAATTAACCAAATGGAAACCTCAGCCAAAAGAGCAGTGCTTCAGATATCACAGCACCTCACATCAAGTTAGAAAACAAAGCTGTAGTAACAAAAACATTATGGTGCTGGCACAAGAACAGATAAAAAGATGAATGGGATAGAATGGACAAATCAGAAAAACGCCCACACAGATACAACCATCTGATTTTGACAAAGGAGCCAAAAAATATGTTGAAGAAAATAGAGTTTCTTCAACGGAGTATGTTGAGAAACCTGCATATCCAGTTGTTCTATTATGTCTCTCCCCCATAAACACAATTGTAGTCCTGTAATTATGAAAGGTTGAAAGTCCCTGAATTGTCTTCTTTATTCTCCCATTGGAGTATCTCTGCACCAATTTTGGCTAATTGAGGTCCCTGTACTCCTTGTACTGTGATTCCTCTTTTTGTTTCCCCAATGCTTAGGCCGTAATGATTGAGGGATAACATTCTGATCTCCTCCTGTGTCTAGAAATCCTCAAAAAGCTATTCCCTTAATATAGATAGTAGCTAAGGGCCTTTGACCTAAAATGGGTTGAGTCCAATATATTTCAGGAGAGGTTTCAGATGGTATCTTTCTCTTATCCTAACCATTGCCTAGAGCTAGAAACATAGACTAATGTTGGAGACTTGGATTGCAGCATAGTACATTAAGAATGCACAGTTAGTCCTTGAAGAAGATACTTTTTATTCCTCATGATTTTCCTATTAATTCTTTTACAGAGTTATAGAAATGACATGTTACTGGGACTGGTGCATTACCCGGAGAAATTGTTAATGCTTCTAAGACCAGGAAATTAAATCCTGAACTCCAGGAGTTTTCCCACTGGACACAGGAAATTGTTCTTTCTTGGGGTGGGGCTGAAGGTTGCCCCTTGTTCCGTTTAACGGTCTCCCATCAGCATGATATTTAGATTTACGGTCTTTAGTCCAATGAAAGCCTTTATTGCATCGTGGGCACATTTTAGAATGTTTTCCTCCAGGTGGGATATGCTTCGGGCCCTGGTAACTTTTGTCCTTGGGCAGTCCTTTTTCCAGTGGCCTTCTTGTCCACATCCAAAGCATGTAGTGTGGGAAAGAGTAGGGCTCCCTTTTGTTAGGGAAGCTGCAAGAATGATGGCCGTGTAGGTTTGGGTGCCAATATCCTGGGTAGCAGAAACCCAAGTAGAAAGATCTCCATTGTTTACTGGTCCAATAGCTTATTTGCATTCTTTGGTAGTCCCCTCATGTAATATGGTGAACCAAGAACCTTTGTGCATCTGCATGTTGAATTTTGTGACTGATAGTGCATTTTACTCTAAACCAGTGCTTGTTGTTCTCTGTGAGATGAATCTTTTGTAAGCAGCATATGGTTGGGTCTTTTTTTTTTCTGATTTACTGTTCTATGTCTTTTGACATTGAGGCCATTAGTACTTAGTGTTTTTACTGAGTGGTCTATAGTGTTGTAATCACTTTGATTCCCCTGCTGTCTGTATAGCTATCCGTAGGTCAACTAGCAAAAATGCTTTGTCTTCCTTATTATGCTTATGTAATTTCTTCAACAAAATTAGTAATAAGAGCAGAATAGGACCTGCCTGGAATTGAGTGGGGGGAGGGGGGAAAATAACCGTATCTATTGATATATTTGTAAATTATCTTATAGTCATTATAAAGGAGAAATTCATTGTGACAATTCAGAATAAAACTCCATTGCATGTATTAAAATGGTTTTATTAATTTCCATTCCCACAAACAGTGTATAAGAGTTCTTGATTCCCTGCATCCTCACCAGTATTTGCTGCTGTTTTTGTTCATGATGATGACCACTCCAACTGGGCTGAGATGAGATCTTAGTGCAATTTTGAGTTGAATTCCTTTAATCGCTGGGGAAGTAGAGCCCTTCTTCCTAATTTTTGTGGTCATTTGTACCTCTTTCTTTGAAAATTCCCATTCAATTCTTGTGACCATTTCTTCATTGCAATGCTGCTTCTTTGATTGTTGTGTTTTTTTGTGGATCCCGTAGATTTTGGATATTAGTTCCTTATTTGATGAGTGGCTCTCAAAGTTTTTCTTCCATTCTGGGAGCAGACTCTTGCGTCCAGTGACATTTTCTTTTGTTGTGCAGAAGCTTTCTCATTTGATCCAGTCCTGTTTCTGCACTATTTCTTTAAGTTGCTTAGCGATTGTAGTTTTATTTAGGAAGTTGTTGCCTATGCCTATATTCCAGTGTATTTGCTACTATTTCTATGGCTGTTTCAAAGTTTCAGGACTTGTATTGATCCATTTTGAGTTGATATTTGTGCAGAGTGAGAGACAGGGATCCCATTTCAGTCTGCTATATGTATATATCCATTTTTCCCAGCCACATTTGTCAGGGGGATTCTATATTCTTCATCATGTGCTTTGAACTAAAAAATCAGTTGACTATAGGTACATGGATTTGTGCCTGGTTCTTCTGTTCCATTGTCTGGATCTTCTATTCTACTCCTGTCTCTTTTCCTGCCAATATCATGGTGCTTTTATTTTTATAACTCTGTAGTATACTTTGGAGCCAAGTATTGGTATGCCTCCAAAATTGGACTTTTTGTTCAGAATGGCTTTGGTCAATTGAGGTCTTGTGTTTTTATGGATTTTATGATTGAATTTTCTATCATTGCAATGAATCTCATTGGAATTTTGATAGGGATAGAATGGAACACTGTAGATTTTGATAGTATAGTCATTTTCATAATATTGATAAAACCAGTCCATGGGCATGGTTGTTATTTTCAACTTCAGATGTATTATTTGATTCCTCTCTTCAGGAATTTTAGTTTTCATTGAAAAGGTCTTCAGTTTCCTTCATTAAGTCTATCCCTAGGTATTTTATTTTACTGAAGCTTTTGTAAATGGAGGTGTTTCCCTGATTTCCATCTCAGTCTATTCATTGTTGGGTTACAGAAAGGCTACTGATTTCTGTATATGAATTTTGTATCCTGCTACCTTGCCAAAAGAGATTATAATGTCTAAGAATTTCTTGGTAGAGTTTCTAGGGTCTTTTAAGTATACCATCATATCATCTGCAAATAAGGAGATCTGGACTGCTTCTTTCCACATTTCTGTCACTTTTATGTCTTATTTTTGTGTTAATGCTCCATCTAGGAATGCCAAAATCATACTGAATAAGATCAAGGAAAGTGGGCATGCTTGTCTCATTCCTGACTTTAGTGGGAATGGTTTCAGTTGTTCTCCATCTAGTATGATGTTGGCTATAGGTTTGTCATATATAGCCTTTAATATGATGAGGAACATTCCTTCTAAATCAAGTCTGTTTAGAGCTCTGTGATCAATGGGTGCTGAATTTTGTCAAAGTCCTTTTCTGCATCTATTGGGATGATCATGCAATTTTCCCCATTTTCTGTTTATATGTGGTTTAATATTCTCTGTTGTTTCCTTTGTTTTTGAGATCTACTTTTATTCTTTTGTAATCTGATATTATATAGGGTTTTATTTCAATTTTCTTAAGTTTATAAAGGCTTGCTTTGTGTCCTAAAATATTATCTGTTTGGGGGAAATTTCCATGGGCTAGTGGAAAATGTGTCTTGCATGGTGGTTACATGAAACACTCTGTAGATGTCTGTTGTTGGCATTTGGCCTGTAAGTTCTGAAGTTTCTTGATCTTTTTCCTGATGACCTATCTATTGGTGACAATGGATTATTGAAGTCTTTCTCTTTTCCTCTACTTTGGTCTATTTAAGCTTTAAAAAAACTTTTTTTTATTATTTATTTATTCACATGTGTGTAGACTGTTTGGGTCATTTCTCCTCTCTAAGGTTTTAAGTCCATAAAAATTTACTTAATGTAGTTGAGTGCCCCAGTGTTTAGCACATATGTGCTAAGAATTTTTATTTTATTTTTAATTTTATTTTATATTAACATTAACTTCTTTCTTTCTTCATGAGGTGAATTTCTTTCTTTCTTCTGACTGATTTTAGTCTGAAGTCTACTTTGTCAGATTTAAGTATATTTTCTCCTGCATATTTTTTTTAGTCCATTTGCTTTGGGGTCCTTTTTCCATGCTTTTACTCTAAACTAGCGTTTGTTCTCTGTGAGATGAATCTCTAGTAAGCAACATATGATTTCTTGAATGGTCTTTTTTTTTTTTCTGATTTGCTATTCTATATGTTTTGATAGGGACATGGATGCCATTAATACTTAGTGTTATCGTTGAGTGGTCTGTGGTGTTGTAATCACTTTCATTCATCTGCTGCTTATTTTTCTTCTATTCCTTGTTTGCTAGTCTGCTCAGTTGAAAGGATTTATTCTTTTTTTGCATTTTACCAGCTGACTGTCAATTATTCTGTGTGCAACAATCCTTTCCATTTTTGGGCAGTGCAGGTTTTGTTCTCATAAATTTGTTTAGCTTTGTTTATTGTATTGTCAATTGGGAATGATAATTTTGCTGGATATGCTAGTCTAGGTTGACATGTTTTCCTTCAGGGCTTCTTGAATATAACTTTCGATTACGTTCTGGCCTTTAGCGTCTGTGTGGAGAAGTCTGTGATTATTTTAATTGGTTGGCCTTTATATGTGACTTTTCTTTTCTCTTTTGCAGCTTTCAGGACTCTTTCTTGGTTGAATATACACACTGTTTTAATAATGATATATTTGGGGATATTTCCTTTCTGGTCCTGGCTACTGGCTGTTCTGTAAGCCATCTGAACCTGGATGTCTTTCCCTTTCTCAAGGTTGGGGAAGTTTTCAGCTCTTGTTTTATTGAGTGAATCATCTATGCCTTTCTTTATACCTCTTCTACTTCTTCTACACCCATGACTGCTAATTTTCATCTTTTGATGATAACTCAGGTGTCTTGCATGTTCCATTTACATTTTATTAGCAGTTTTTCATGGTTTTAGACTGACCTAATTATCCTACTTTGTCTAGTAGTTGTGATATTCTGTTTCCAACTTGTTCCACTCTGTTCATCAGTCTTTTGGTTGAGGTTTTTATTTGGGATATTGAGCTGTTCATTTGTATTGATTATTCTTCTATACTGTTATGTATTTCCTCTTTCATATCCAGAATGATGTGCTTAATTTCATCCATCTGTTTCTTTGAATTCTTTTTTATTACTTTTAGTTGTTTATTCGTATCCTTTTTGCATTCAGACACTAGCTTATGTGTGTCCAATTTGAGCTCATTAATTTTTCCCATCCTTTTTTTGAATTTAATATTTAATATTTCCTCCTCTTTACTATTATTTATATTCTCAGTGGTGGCATTTTGAGGTGGCCATTGTTGTGTTTTTGCATGATATTTCTGCGCTGGCATTATGCATCTGGGGTTTTTTGATCAGAGGTTACACTCCTCTGTGTCCCATTAATTGGAGTTTTATGAGAGAATACATAGGACTGGGTGGTGATTGAACTCTGACATGTTCTCTTTCTGTAAATAGGGGAGGGGAGTGCAGTGGCTCAATAGTTTTGTGTTCAGCTTCTTATTATCAAGATGCTGGATTCTTTCCACTGTTCTATATAGAGCAAGGACACTTAACTACTGAGGCTGCTACAGTTGTCAAACTGCAGCCTTGAAATTACAGTAATTCTTCATAAATATCAATTACTACTACTGTTCCAGTATCTTTCATTGTGTACTGGAGCAACCATGAATCTGCATCTTCCTGGAAAGCCGTGGGATAAAGTGTTGTGATGGCGAGGGTGATAGGCAGAAGCTCTAATGGGATAATAGTCTGCTGGATAAAAATTAGGTGAAAAAACCTAGCGTGCAGAATGATTGGTGGCTTAGCTAATAGAAGGCTAAGGGAAGTCTATAGCTGTGTAAATAGAGAGTGCGACGGGATGATTGAGGCAATTAAACCATTAAATCCACAGAAATGAAAAATGTGGATTTTTCTGTTATTGAAAGTATTTATATGAAGGGAGTTTAGTGTGGATAAAACAGGAAAGGAAATTGAATCTAGGCAGGTGTCCTAATGTTACAAGGGATAATATAAATTGAGGTTCGGTGGTAGAAAAGGGATGAAAAACATTGTTGGGGGTTCAGATTTAAAAGTGAGGTTATTGGTCTCTCATAATAGATTACATTTGATTAGGAGGGAGAAAGACGAAAGATAAGAGGAAAACTCGGAAATCAACAATGCAATACTCCTGTTGGAAGTAAGAAAAAGAAATTGCAAACCAACTGAGTTAAAAAAATCTTACATTCACATTGATATACTGGAAGGAGAACTTTTGTAAGTACAGCTCACGAGTGTTAGTGCCATTCCTGCTGCTGTGCTGTGTCAGCCCTCCCAGGTCTCATTTTGCCTTCTTCCATGGGACCTCTGTGGACTACCATTGGGTGCCAATAGATCTTATGTGGTGGGTGCCTCTTCTTCACTGCTTTTTGCAGCCAACACCAGTGAGCATGCAGGATCCATGGAGTCAAGCCTGGTTCAAGGAAGGTCATGTGAGCTCACAGCAGGCTCTCGAGAGGGTCTTTGGTCAACAGCCTATGACATGTGTGGCTCATTTTCTGCTTTGCTGGATCCTAGCAGCTATCCTCAGCAGTTTCATGTTGGGCACCACCTTTTTTTGTTTGGTCACTGGTCATCTCCAAGTAGCTCTTCCTATCTATATTCTTTATCCATGCGAAATCTGTAAGAGCTTTTATTTTCAGCTCATTGATTACACACTGCTGAGAACAAGGAAGTACCTGAAATTGCATTTTTCAAGTTCAAAATAGATTTCTTTATCCAAAGAGTGGATTATAAAATATAGTCAAGAAAACTTTGACAGATAAAGGAAGTGCTAATCAGAAATGTCATGATGGATATAATAAAAGAGTCCAGATATATAAAATTCTGTCATAAACATTTTCTCTTTTCTGACGGTCATACACATCACCAGGAACGAAAAAACTGTACAATAATTTCAGAGTTTCTTCCTCTGAGGTTTTCAGAACAAAAAGATCTTCAGACTCTCATATACAGACTGTTGTTCCTGTCCATGTCTCTGATTGCTGTGCTTGGGAACCTGCACATCATCCAGACCATGATCTCAGACTCCCACCTGCACATGCCCATGTACTTCTTCCTCTCCAAACTGTCCTTTTTGGACATCAGCTTCAATTCTACCACCATCCCAAAGATGCTGGTGAACATCCAGACACAGATCAACCTATCACCTATGCAGTTTGCATCACCCAAATTTATTTTTTGGATTATTTGCAATGTTGGACAACTTCCTCCTGGCTGTGTTGGCCTACAATAGATATGTGACCACCTCTGTCACTCCCTATATTTCATGGTCATCATGAACAGCCTGCTCTGTGGGTTGTTGATGGTGTCCTGGGTCATAAGTGCAATTAAATTACAATTATTTGATCTGATGTGGGTGTCTTTCTCTCCATCGATTTATATTGTTGAGTTTCTCTTTCTTTGATTTCAACTTCTTCATAAAATTTATGAAGAACTTTTTTATAACTCAGCTTATAAAAATTCTTCTTCCTCTGATGTGAAAATAAGGACACTTATCAATCATATGCTTCCTCTTACTTAAAGCCATGGTTTGGACTGGGTTCATTTGTTTGAGTCTGTACTCCTTGCTATATGTCAAGATTAGGAGTAATGTGGTGCAAGGACAACCTGGGCAAGATGGTTCTCAATATCCAGTTACGCCAAAGGGTGCATGCAGTGACACATGCTTCTCATCCCAGCTGTGTTGGAATTACCAATAGAAGGACGGCGGCCAGGTTGGCTGAGTTATGAACTGAGACTGTGTCTACTAAGTAACCAGCACAAAAGGTATTTGTGCAGCGGTTCACTGGGGCGCACCTACCTAACATAGTGAAGACCCTACGTTTAAGCCCCATTGCTGCCAATAAACAATCATGGGTTGGAAATAGTAGAAATACCATTTTTCTTATAGGCAAAACAGATGTCTTAACAACAGTTTGTTCTCAAATGTCTGACATCATACTGAATTATTTTTCTTTTTTTCATTCTCCATTTCATGGTCATCAGTTGCACTCCACCTATGTTGAAAAACACACTTGGCTCCTAAAGCAGTTTATGTAACTTTACGCAAGAGGAAATTCTGATGGCACAATTTTTTGCTATGAGTTCTCCATTCATTCATGTTGATTTTGACTGTAATTCTGATGTCAGTCTCCCCAATACCTAGGTTTATAGGAAGGAGCTACCAGTGCGATGATCTCCATTGACTTTTTTGTTTTTTTAGTGCACTGGGATTTGAACTCAGGTCCTCATGATTGCTAGGCATGTGCTCTTACCTCTTGAGTAACCCCACTAGCCCTTTTAGGTGATGGGTTTTTTCGAGATAGAGTCTCAATACAAACCTGATCTCTCTCTCTCTCTCTCTCTCTCTCTCTCTCAGCTAAGATTACAGGTGTGAATCACAGGGACCTTAGTTCTTCCTGATTTTCTGGTGACTCTAAAGTGTGATTTGTTTCGTGACTCAGGCTGAGATTTGTCAAATCACCTACTATTTACAAGTCATTTTGAAGATATTTGTGATGATTACTTCATAATCATTTTTGATGCAAAAAAGGGCATTTGGACAGTGTATGAAGAAGTATCTGAGTTTACAAATGGGGAAAAGGGAAGAATGTTGCTTCTGTGCTCCTTTGCTAGTGTGAAAATGAGTGGAAGTGTGGTTTAATTGCAGCTGTTTATGAGGGTTGCATTATTAAGAATATATCATTGCACTACTTTCATTTCGTGTTGAAATAGTTGGTTAGACAGACTATAATTTGTGCAAATGAAGACAATTCTTGGAGGCTCAGGCTTAGAGAAAGACACCGTTATATTTTTCTTGATGTGGCAAAAGTTGGTGTATTTGGAAGGTGATGTGGGTGTGTAGTATAAATTAAAAGACTGGGTCCTTGTGTCAGTTTCTAGTGCAGTGATTATGAAATCCTTGAAATTTCTGAGGCAATTGGAGTGTATTTGGTTGTTTTCCTAAGCTCCACTGAGGCAATGTATGCATTTATTCTATGACGGGTCTCAGGGTGGCACATCTTTATAACTTTAGGAAGGTGACTGTCTTGAACACACATAGCAAAGAAGTGCTATGGTTTCTTGTCTCTTTTACACTGCCCAGAAGTTGGAGAGACTCTGCTAATTCTGAACGGTGTCATATTTGAACTGAGGGAAAATTAGTTTGTATTTGAAAGTTGGTTGGTGTTGATAACATCACATATTTGTTATGAGAAGTGATGGTAAAGAAAATCTCAGCAAAATTAAAATGGTGGGAGAGATCAGGTTTCTGAAAATAAGCATTGCATTTAGTAGAAGTCAGTGTACATTAACAAAGATTAAGATAGCTCAATGAGGTCACAGGATGTTAGATGTATTTCCCTCACCTCACAGTGAGTGCATGACAACAGTTTCTGGAGTAATACATCTTTCACAAAGACTCAAGCCAATAAACCATATCCCTTGTGGTGAGGTTGACCCAAAAGATTTTGTTCATTTTAATTATATAACATTGTCCTAGTGTTCTACCCTGTTAGTAGAATATTGTTTTAGGGTGGGAGTTGTGGCATTGGTGCTCTATAGAGTATGGATATATTAAATTTACTTGAAGTTTTGGTAATGTATGATTTTAACTAACCTTTTATGGCTGTTTGCTTATTCTGTGATTTGAAAATATGTGGCTGTTCTAATTTATTCTACTTGTCCATTTATCATTAAACATCTTTGTATGCTGTTTTTTGTACTATATTCATAACCTTTGGTTTTGAGCAAGTTTTTGTACTTGTTCCTTCATGTTATTATCACCCCCATCTCACCCTACCTCTCTGCATGTTATTTTTCTTTTACTGTTCCTTTGTTCTGTGTAAATGGTATTCTCCTAGTGTGTGAAGTTCAGATGGTTATTAGAAATTTAGCAAAATGATGTGCTTTGCATATAGCTGGTGTAGTACAATCTTGCTGAAGTTCTTTATTTACCTATTTATTTACTTCTTTCTTACTCAGGGTCTTGTGATTGCTAAGGCAAGCACTACGCCACTTGGGCCAGTCTCACAGGTGCAGTAATTTATTAATTATATAATCACATTTCTATCCCCCTTTATAATACTAAGTACTTTTAAAATGTATTGGTAGTAATTTCCCAAACATATAAAAAATCCTTTTCCAAGTTAGTTAGATGCATTTCAAGTAAAGGTGTGGTGCTTCATGGCCAGGGCAGATATTGGTATATTCCCCACTATTATTTTTCAACCCATATATAATTTTCTTACTTATTGTTCATATTATAAGGGATGATTAACTAGTCCATAATTCACTTTGAATGACTTTTGTCAAAGGTTGTCTTTGAGTACCCATAATGAGGAAGAAAGTAAACAATTTTTGTTCATTTTTAATTTCCTTACTCTTTCTTTATGTGATCTAAGCTCGTAGCTTATATGTTTTTGTTTTTCTCTAGAGATATTTCAACCATTACAAAATTCAGATACCTGTGATACATTCTGTGAATTTAAAAGTGTTCTCTTTCTCTTCTAGCTGCTGCATAATTTCAATCATTTTCATACTGACTCTGTTGTTCTTCCTCTTGTCCACCATTAAGCACCTATAATGATGGTTTCATTGAACTTGTATATCCATCTTCATGCTCTCTATGTAATCCTTTGAGGATTTCTAAGTCTGCACTGATATTATCTTCTTTGTATGTAATATTTCTACTTTTTTGTTTACATGCTTGCCAATGTCCTTTGTTCTACTTTAAACACTTCCAAGGAAAGGCTTTGTGAAATGAGTCCACAGCCAGAGATTTTTCAACAGTCAATTTCTCTTTCTGCAAACAGAATTTTGGACCAAGGGCACAAGCTCCTCTGATTGCACATTGTACATCCAGCTAGTTACCCTTCAATGTCAAATAAAGAAGCATGGTGAAGGCATGGAAAGTAGTATCATTTCACAACTAGGGTATGGTGTGGGATGAGGCAGAGTTAAGTACTCAGCTCATGTTCACCATCTCCACGGTACAGACATGAGATATAGATTTAAATAGGCAAAGGCAAGGGTGCAGGGAGCAAAGATACGCACTTAAATAGTTCCAGTCACAGGGGTAGTGTAGTTGTTACAACTCAGCTGTTGTTATGGGTGTGGTTCTGGAATTGTTAACCAGAGGATGGTCCATCCAAAGGAGGATCTGTTCTTGGGGTTAGATTTGGCTTCAGGTCATGAAGAAAATATCTATCTTCTTGATCCTAGATTCCAAGGGGGCTGCAAGGTGACTGCTGAGATGGCTCAGAGGACAGACTGATTCAAAATGGTAGGTGCCATATTTTTTCCTACTTTTAGTTGATTCATGGACTGAGTTTGGAGTCCATTCTTTTTAGGAAAAGTAGTCTGAGGAATGCCTACAATGCTTTTTTAACTGAAGATCCACATTTCCCTTTTTCTTCATATTTGTTGTCATTTGTTCCTTGTGTGTAAGAGTGGATATGATATTACCTTCATGCAAAGTTTTTCCATTTTCCTGGCCTGGCCTAGAACCACAACTCCTCTGAGATCACAGGGTGTCCCCATGGGAAAATGAGTGTGAAATTCTCTCACCATATTGCAGGCTCTATTTCCCTGTTGAAGAAAGTTCCATTCTGAAAAGCAGATTCTGCTTCATGGCAATGCATCACCAGTCTGGAGTAGGTAGGCACCAGGGAGGAGGCCTGAACTGCAGATGGCTGTTCCCGGATTCAATTATTTGGTTTATGCACTCTCCCTAGTACAGGATTACTTCTGTTACTCAGATCTCAAGGGGTGGGTTCTGGACCACTGTCCAGTGAGAAGAGCTTGAGAATTGGCAAATCACCGTCTGTTGTAAGTAGGACCCTCTGATTAATACAGGAAATGCCTACTGATCTGGACATTTTCTGGATCACGTTTTGATACTGAGCAATTTTATGTAATTTAGTCTCCTACTGTGACTCGCACATGGTCCCATGTGAGTGACCAGAACTTCACTCACCAAAGAAGCCTGAAATGCTCTTTGTAACTGGCATCCCAGAGCCTAGTAGGATGAGGACATACGAAATGGCTTGGAAAGGTTGGTACAGACCTGGGACTTCCAAGTACATCACTGCATTTTGTGGCTGACTCATTGCTTGTGAAGTTTTGCATTTGTTCTTCTTTGCCCTGGGGTGGGACTGTTCAGATGGGCACACTCTGGCATCCTGTCCTCTATGTGCAGGGACATAGACCTTGCCCAGCATCCTGTTAGGACTCCTCTGCACTTGAGCTGTAGGTCCCCCAGCCTTCAGTGGGTGGGAGGTTTTGGCTTCCTCCATTATCCTTGTGGACTTGGTGATTGCCCATAATTAGCTACGTGTTTAGAAGCTGATTTCACACTAGTCCACAGCCCAGTTCTTCTTAGGGCTGTGATAAATTCATAACCTGAAGCTGTCTTTGCATTGCCCAACTCAAGGCAAAGACTCTGCATGGGCATGTGGGATTCATAACAAAGGGAACATGTTGGGAACGTGTTGAAGGTTGAAGTTTTTGCAATATCTGACATAATTGGAGTTGTTTAGATAGTATGTTGAAACTTTAATTTCAGATGGAGACAGGGACTGATCATACTGAAGTAGCAGTGCAGGGCAGCACCAACTCGGAGGTCTGCAGGGTCTCAAGGGTGAGGTAGAGCAGGGCTGTGCTTTCTAGGGAGGGCATACTGTTGTGGATGACTCTGGGAGAGGAAGGATAACAGGGGGAGCCATCTGCTCCTTGATCAGATATCCTTTCCCCTGAGCTGATAATTGTCTTCAGGTGACCATAAAAAGGGGTTGTTGTGTTGCCTCAGGTCAAGGGTGGTTCATAGAATTCAGGAGTATAAAAAGGAGACAACCTTCAGGAAAGTTTGCTTATTAGCTGTTCTGTTTCTTCTGAACAATTAAAGTAAAGCTTTTGAGGCAGAAATTGGGATTCCCTAAAGTGTGAGCCTTGCCTTGTTTTAGGTTTACTGAGGAAAGACATGTAAGTGTAATGGGAACACAAAAGATGGTGTTATTTAATCATGAGTGATTTCTAGGATTACTTTGCTTTGGTAATATTTCAACTGATTATATTTTCTTTTTTTTTTTTTTTGTATTGTGGTTTGAAATCTGTCTCAAACTTGCTGTACCACTTGAGTCTCTTCACCAGGAAGTTGTTTGCATTTTCATTGAGGGGGTTGATCTTGTGAGAATGTACCTCATGACAGTTGAGATAGCTTATGAAGTACAAAGGGAAAACAAGACACATTTGGTTCTTTCTGTTAGAAAACAGGTTTTTATTAACTTGGGGAGTTTTTTGCATGTATGGAATTGGTGGGATAGCTACAGCTTCTCTTCTACCTAATAATTGGGCTGACTTGTTAGTATGTTCTTTCTTGTTTTTTTTTCTTTTACTTTTTTGCAGAACTGGGGCTTGAATTAAGGGTGTACTCGTTGAGTCACTCTGCCATCCCTTTTTTGTGCAGGTTTTTTTTTTTTGTTTTCAAGATATGACCTCACAAACCATTTGCCTGGGTCTGGTTTCAAAAAATGATCCTCCTGATCTCTGCCTCCTGAGTAGCTAGGATTGCACGTGGGAGCCACTAGCTCCCAGCTTGTTCTTACATTCTTGGGTATTAATAGATAGCTTGAGGGAACAGGTGTGAGAAATCCTTGTCCTTAAAGACAAGTGACTGATACCAACATAGTGTGACACCAGGCCTTTTGTCCTATTCTGTTGATATCTCCCTCACCCTGTCCTACACATTGATCCTTCTGTGAAATCAAGAGCTGTGTCCTTAGATGCTGAATTTGGAATATTCTCAGCAGACTCCTGACTCCATTTCCATGTGAAAGAAATAGAGTTGTTCTGTAAAAGCCAGATGCACGTTCTGCTTCAGTACAGTGCATCCCCACACTGTGGAACATAAGGTCCAAGGAGGAGGCCTGGTCTGCTAAGGGCTGTGCCTGGAACCATTTACTGGTCCAGGCTCTATACCATGTGATGTATAACTTCTCCTGTCACAGGGATCTAATGTGACAGAGCCTTGGCTCAAGAGCCAATGAAAAGCACTGTATTTGGAGGGAAAGAGCTGTCTAGGTTGTCCTAGCAGAATCCAGTGGGAGGAGGTACCACCCCCTAATCTTTGGAAAATGACTGTCTAGTTCCTATCATTTTCTGAATCACTGAGAATTCTTCTGATACAGAGACAGTGGAACTGAATCTCACACCCATGTCATATGTGAGCTCAGCTAGGTTGGAGGGCAGAATCCCAATCACCATAGCAGGTAGAAGTAGTGTTTGTTACCAGTGTCACCAGTCTAAGGAGGATAAGGATGTTGGACTGCTTGTAGCAGTGGTGAGATATCTTGGCCTTCCGAGCATAGCACTGGATTTTGGGGCCTGAGTTTCCTGCAGTTCCTTGTGGCCCTCCATCCTCTCTATTGTGTGTGGATCAGCAAAGATGAGCAGGAATCTGTCATCCTGTCCCATACCTCTGAGTAACCTGACCCATCATGGAGCCCTTGATTCTCTCCCCAGATGATGAGATGGTAGGAGGTGGTAGCTTCCCTTCAGCTGAATATGTGATCCTTGGTGTTCACTGCTCCTTCGAAACTTCTCAGGGTAAAATTGATGGTCCTGAATTATGCAAAAATGTGGAAGCAGGGTCTTGAATGCACAACCTGATCCCAGACATGTGCTACTTAGGGTTCTAATAAATCCCAAAATTTACAGAGAGCTCACGTTGCACAACTCACTGCAATGGTGGTGCACTTGCAGTTGAGTTTTGAATGGGAGGGTTGAGGTTAGAAACTTATCAAAGGTTTATGAGCATAATTGATGTTCTGTTTGGCCAGTGTCTAAACCAGATGAACAGGATAACCTCAAACCATGATCGTACTGACTTCAGCCTCCTACGTAGTTAGGATGATGAGTATGAGGCTCCAGATTCCAACATGTTCTTCCTTCTGTATTGTGTATTATAATCATCTTTTACTTTGGAAATTGAAATAGCCATTTTTGGAAAGTTATTGCTTAGTTGGTTTGAAATAGAAAGAAAACACTAGGAAGAAACCAATAAAATAATACAAGCATCCTACTTATATATGTTTAATTAACACTTGGATTTGTTTTGTTCATTAGATTTTTGTTTGCATCATTTTCTATAGTTTCTTTTTTGCAGTGCTTGTGATAGAACTTATGTCCTTGCTCATGCTGAGAAATTGACCTACCACCATGCTATTCATTTGTTTTCTCAAGGATTCACTTATTTTAATATTTCAGTGTTTTTGGTGCAGTGCAAATACTTCATGAGCTCCCATCTCCAAAAATATCCAAAGCAAAATGACTGGAAGTGTTGCTCTCAAGTGGTAGAGAATCTGGTTTGCAAAACTAAAGCCATGAATTCAAAACCTTTCAAACCAAAAAATTAAAAAGGAGAAAAATGGAGAACATGATGATAGATAATTCAATATGCTTATTAGCCAGCTGGATGCAAGTGTTACAGAATTCATTAATCAACTACTAATAATAACATTTTTAATGAACACAATGAATTTTTCCAAGAGAGTAATGTAAAAGTATAGAACAAAACAAAGTCTGATTTCCCTGAGAAGGTGTGTTGCCAGTGTGAAGTTGCATAGTACTTGAAGTCAGGTGAGCCACAGGTAAATGCTGGTGGGTGTTCTTTCCTTTTTAAAGGTATAACTGTGGCTGTTAGGGGACCATTTTCTTTTTGACATTGATGTGTCTACTTATTCTGGATTTACATTTCTCTATCAACACATGAAGAATATCTGTGGTAGTATCTTAGAATACTGAGTTTTTGCATTTGACATTTTTTTTAGTAGAAACAAGGGACTGAATTGAGATGTTCTGTCTGAGAATTATAAGTGTAGAAGCCTAGCGTTTTCTCACTAGGATATGGTAGTAAAAGGACACATGCATGCACACAAGGTATCTAGATACCCTGGTAGATGTGAATGAAAAGGGTCTGTACACACATTACTACAGTAGATGGATGCCACCTTAATCCTTTCCCTACCTTTTCTGTCTTGTCCATTAAACAGTGTTCTATTTTTGACCATTTGGAATTAGAAAAGTATTAGACCTATTCCATACAGAAGCCTTCTGGGTGCTGTCTTTGAGTGAATTTCACACACTCAATTACATGTGATATTGAATTACACTATTTTCCCTTTTGTTACAGTGGTCATTGTTTTGGGGTCTTTTCTATATGTATTGTACAGAATGTGAAACATAGTTCTGATTACCATTCATAATATGTCCTGTGTGTATTAGATACAATTTGAGGACTCTGTTAATTAATTAATTAGAATTAAACAAATGTCAGGGCAGATTGCATCATTTGCCAGTCCATTCAAGCATTATATTTTTCTTCTCTTTTTGTATTTTCAACACTTATTTTACTCAGCTAATTCCTAAATCTGGGACATAGATTTTGATTCATACATGGTGTCTTATGTTGAAAACACATGTGCATTTTTCAATCACGTTCTCATTCATTATTGTATGCAGTACAATAATCCTTATGTTTTGCTTGCATTTTAGATTTTTATCCTCATTTTTTGTCTCTTGCCACTCTAGTATATTAACATTCCAAATTCATTTTGTTTGTTTCTTGGGTAGTGGGTTTCCAAATGCTCTTCCTTTTGTGTTACTTTTACACAGAGACTTGAACTAAAGATGCATACCAGGATCTCACTGAACATAAGCTAGTCCTCCCTTAGGTTTGCAACTGCTGGGATGACAGGCATGTGACACCATGACTTCAAAAGTATTTCCATTTTTTCTTCCTATTTCCCATGCAAATGGATCATTATCCATGACATTGGAGAATACAATGTGTGTTTTCAATGAGAAACTGGGTTGCAGATTTTGTGCTCTTAGCCACCATTGTATGATGTGTCTTCGTCAGGAATCAATTTTCTCTTACTTTAAAGTCAAGGGAAGATTGGTTACTTTTCCTCTGAGGCCTATTTGTTAATCTTTGTTAAAGTACAGTGTCCTTGATAATGTAGTTTGAACATTGTTTACTAATTATACACAATAGGGCACTGTTATTTCCCTTGCTCTCTCCCATTGTTCTTCATTATTATTCTTCATTTATTACAGTGGTTCTTGCTATGTAGATCACTTCAATTTTTAACTTGTGGTCCTTCTGGTGGAATTACAAAATTGGCCTCCACATGTAGTTCAAGTGATCACTTTCTCATTCCAATTATTTTTAATTGCTGTTTGCAATCTGTGACACTGATTACATTTTTTAAAGTAGTTTTGTTCATGAGTTTTAAGGTATATTTTAGAAATTGTAAAATTGTATACAGCTAGTTGAAATCATTCTATTTCTAGGGACACATGCTACATGTTTTCTTTCTACATTATGTTTTTACTTGCTACAGCAAAAACTGTAAGTATGTGACTGATCCTTCATGAGTCTTATTTAGCTTTAAATTTGGGTTGGTTTGTTCTAAGCCAGGTAGAAGCTTCCAAATGTTCTCTCTTGATACAGTCACCAAGGAGGTGCTCAATTCCCAAAATAAAATAAAATTGTTTTGGAAAGAGATATTAAATACTATTTGTCATACCAACTTCCTATTCATGAACATGAGTGAGTGCATTGTGGGTTTTCTTACTACAGACTCCGTAGGATGAACCTTGCAGAAATGTGCAAATAATCATAAATAGTATATATACAATAGGATATTATTGGAATAAATTGCTTCAGGACATTCTTCCCCCTTTTACACTATATATTTGGTTTGGTGAGCTTTATCCCTTTAGCAGTTCTGCAATGCCAGTAGACATTAATCTTTTTCTCATTGTAGTAAAAACATTATTCCTGCAGTCTATTTGCACCTGATGTTACCCCAATGGGAACTAAGAAGAAGGAATTTATTAGTAGATTGCTACAGTCTCAGTTTATAACATGTACTTTTTGTCACCATATTCTGCTTTGAATTTAGCAGTTAGGTCCAGTGATATGTCAGAATTACTATGAAGTGCTTGTGAGTAGAGATGGAGAATGAGAGTGATAAAAATAAAATGCATTGAATATGTGGAGACCACATTAGCTTGTGAATTTGTTTCATGGAGATTGTCTATTTCCCCTGCTGTGACACTCACAGTTCTTCTCAAAAATGTGTATTTGACCTCCTAGGAGCCCCTGACCTTTGAGGATGTTGCTGTGAGCTTCACCCTGGAAGAATGGTGCTGTTTGGATCCTTCCCAAAAGAAGCTCTACAGAGAAGTGATGCTAGAAACCTATAGAAACCTGTCCTACATAGGTAAATATGGCATCATTACCTTAATCAAAGTGTGCACTACTGTTGTGACTCATTGGTGTTGTTGCCTCATAGGGTGTTTAAAAGGGGACAGTAATGGTTCATTCATATTCATGATCATATATCATGAAAATAGCCAAAGTCTCAAATTTTTCTTTCATATCAATTAAATACTAATGATTTCTCTTTGTATATATCTTACAAACAAAAGAAGAAAATGAAAACATTCAAGAGGACTTCAGGAATCCCAGAAGAAATATGAGGTAATTTGTATTCACAACCAAAATAGTGAACATCAAATGTGGCATTGAAAAGAAGTGTGAAAGCCAAGAAAATAGGACTATAACTTATACTTATAAATCACTTAAATCAGTGAAAAATAAGTTAAACATCCACAATCAGAAAATTCAAAATCTGATATGTGCCATTTTTCATAATGTTTTTCCAAAGAAGTCACAAAAGACACTGTCCTGTTGCTCAATATACCAAAATAATCCAGTCTGTGCAGAAACTAATTTAACTGTATTGTATCAAATTCCATCACAATGGGATTATTATGTGCATTGGTATAGACTGGCACATTTTTCAACCTTTGTCCTCATGTTCATTCTTTTATTTTGCAATCCAACATGCTTTTGATCCAAGGCATCTCAATAAGCTCTTTAAGTGTATTTGAATGTAGCAAAATTCATTCAGTGTTGTTAAACACCTAACATGGAAATAGTATGATGGAAGCACATTACAAATGCCACTGTTTGGTAATAGCTGTTCTCAGGCTCTGCTGCAGAACATGTAGTACATTTGTGTTCATAAATCCTCACATTAACAAACACCATAACTTCTCCTAATACATCATTAATAGGATAACAATGGTAATCTTTGTCTGTTTTACAGAAATGAAATGTTAGAGTTACTGCGTGAACGTAAACAATGTATTAAGTGTGCAGAATCCGTTCAACAGTCTCCAGAGAACATTGTAAACAAGGGTACTCAGCTTAGAACAGCACCATGTAAAAGCAATATATGTGATACTTATGGGAAAACGTTTACTGATGGCTTGGCTCTTCTAATCCATGAAAGGTTACACAATGTAGTGAAATCTCACGGAAGGAAAGAAATTGGTAAAGTCTTCACTCCATCTGGTACCTTTCACATTCATGAAACTGCTCACATTAGTGAGAAACCCTATGGATGTACACAATGTGGGAAAGCCTACATTCCTTCCAGTAACCTTCATATTAATGAAGGAACTCACAGTGGAGAAAAACCTTATGAATGTAAGCACTTTGGGAAAGTCTTTAGTCAAGCCAATGGCCTTGAAAGAACTCACACTGGAGAGAAACCCTATGGATGTAAGCAATGTGGCAAAGCCTACACTGATTCAAGTGCCCTTCGATATCATGAAAGAACTCACACTGGAGAGAAACCACATGAATGTAAGCAATGTGGGAAAGCCTACACATTTTACAGTGCCCTTCGTAGTCATGAAAGAGCTCACACTGGTGAGAAACCCTATGGATGTAAGCAATGTGGGAAAGCCTACACATTTTCCAGTAATCTTCGTGTTCATGATAGAACTCACACTGGAGAGAAGCCCTATAAATGTAAGCAATGTGGGAAATGCTTTAATCAAGTCAATCACCTTCAAAGACATGAAAGAATTCACACTGGAGAAAAACCCTATGGATGTAAGCAATGTGGGAAAGCCTTCACTGATTCAAGTGCCCTTCGATATCATGAAAGAACTCACACTGGAGAGAAACCCTATGGATGTAAGCAATGCGGTAAAGCCTACACTTTTTCCAGTACCCTTCGTATTCATGAAAGAACTCACACTGGAGAGAAACCCTATAAATGTAAGCAATGTGGTAAAGCCTACATTTTTTCCAGTTCCCTTCGCAGTCATGAAAGAACTCACACTGGAGAGAAACCCTATGCATGTACAAATGTGGAAAATTCTTCACTTGTGTGAGTAACCTTCGATATCATGAAATAACTCACGGTGGAGAAAAACCATATGAATGTAAGCAATGTGGAAAAGGCTTTACTCATGCCTGTTATTTACGAATACATGAAAGAAGTCACACTGGAGAGAAACCCTATGCATGTAAGCAATGTGGGAAAGCCTACACTGATTCAAGTGCCCTTCGATATCATGAAAGAACTCACACTGGAGAGAAGCCCTATGAATGTAAGCAATGTGGTAAAGCCTACACTCTTTCCAGTTCCCTTCGTATTCATGAAAGAACCCACACTGGAGAAAAACCCTATGCATGTAAGCAGTGTGGGAAAGCCTTCACTAATTCCAGTTCCCTTAAAAAACATGAAATTACTCACTCTGGAGAGAAACCTTATGGATGTAAGCAATGTGGGAAAGCCTACACTGATTCAAGTACTCTACGTATTCATGAAAGAACTCACACTGGAGAGAAATCCTATGGATGTAAGTAATGTAGGAAAGTGTACAGTGATTCCAGTAACCCTTATATTCATGGAAGAACTCACATTGGAGAGAAACCCTATGAATAAGCAATGTGAGAAAGCCTTCACTCAATACACTCACCATCAAGCACACAGAAGAACTCACACACAAGTGAAACCTTATAGATACATGCAGTGTGAGAATGTGTTCACTTATTTAGGTCACCTTTGAGCCCTGAAAGAACTCACACTGAAGACAAACCTTATGGGTGTAACCAATGTGGCTAAAGTGTTCACATGCCCTATTACCTTAAAAGACATAAATGTACTTAGACTAGAGAGAAAAGCCATGGATATGAATAATTTCCAGTGACATTATTCAGAGAAACTTTATAAATGTAAGGAATGAGCAAAACCTACACTCTATCCAGTATTCGTCATACTCAACAAAATGCAAACAGGACAAGCCCAGTGTATGTAAGCAGTGTGGAAAGCCTTCCTTAGTTCTAGTACCCTTCATGCACCTGAAAGAACTCATCTTGTAAATAAACACTAGGTTATGTCAAACATAAAACGTTCACACATCCCTATTTCCTTGAACAACATGAATGAACTCAGAGACACTATTGCAGTTATCTTTGACATGAGACAGTTCACATTGTAGTACAATGATGTACACATGTGTAATTTGGCTAAGTATTCATACATTCCACTGCTCCCTCAAAACATACAAAAGTAAAATAGAGAATAATTGTATTTAGAAATCAATTAGAAAAGTCATCACTAATTTCCATGACCTCAAACATGAAAGTCCTCACACTAGAGAGAAAATCCACAGGTGAAATATATGTAGGAATATCTTCTCATTCCCATTACCAAAAAAATACAAGTAAGATATCACACTATAGTGATATGAATGAACTCAGAAACTATCAATGTAAATAATGTAGGAATGTCTTCACCTTGCATTGTCTTTGACATGACACAGTTCACTTTGTAGCACAATGCTTTTCATGTGTGTAACGTGGTTAAGCATTCACACATTCCAGTGCTCCTTCAGAACATAAAAAATTATATGATCAAATATGGTATGAAGTGAGAACTTGATTCATGGCTTATGGCTGGCAGGGAAGGAACTTACTTCCAAGCCTCCAGTCCATTTTCTCCTAGTTATTTCAGAGCAAGGGTCTGTGAACTGTTTGCACAGGCTGACCTCTAACCATGATCCTCCTCTCTTACCCTCTCATGTACTAGAATTATAGGACAAAAAATATAAGACAAAAAAAATGAAACATGCACCCATTAGCAAGAGGGTGGGAAGATTTAAGTAGGAATACTTCACTGGGTGTCCTGAGAACTCCAGCTTTAATTCTGGTCAGTACAGATGGGGATGGTCATTCCTGGAAAACTAGTCTGTGTGTGGTTAACTCTCATAGTGTGAGCTAGATGCTGGTGGTTCAAGCTTGCAATTCTAATTGAGTAAGGATTGGGCAGCCACCTTTGGATTGGGCCCTTCCTCATCACAGTTGGCTTACTGAAAACTCTACACCTGGCCCTAATGAATAACAAACATTCACCTTTAGCCAATTACTAGAAATTTCCCACCCAGCCTCATAGAAAGACCGCTTATCTCGGGAGTGGCAGAGGGCCTATGGAGGATATTCCTGTCCATTGACCTTCCTGGGAGTTTGCCCTGAGTTTCCTTTCTTGGACTGTCTATATCTGTCCCTAATCTGCAAGTAGTTGTGGGCTACTCCTCTCACTGGGGTCTGCCTCTAGAGAATTCTCCCAATAAAGCATGTGCTGAGGTATTGAGCCAACCCCGTGATAGAGATAGAGATGTAAGCATCTCTATCTCTGCTTACATTTTAGTCCAACATGCCTTTTTTCACCATTAACAGTAGGTACTCAGGAGGCAGAGATCAGGGTGATTACAGTTTGAAAGCAAGCCTGGATGATTCATTCCTGAGGCCACAAGTTCAAATCCAGTATACCAAACAAACTTCATAACTTCATGTCAACAACATGTCCTAGTTGCTGGCTTGGAGGACAATTTCCTTAGCGATAAGGCTAAGGCTGAGTGTGCTGGTGTTTCAGGTCAGCAAGATGCTGTATCATTGATATTAGCCCTCTAGTCTACAGTGTAATTCCTTATCAACAGACAAGGCATGTTTCTCAGCCATCAGGTTACTAAATCCTTCATTAGTCCTCATCAGAGACTTCCTGCTTCTTTCCAAGACAGGCTCATCCATCAGACAGCAGACATAATTCCATCCTCTTTGCTATCCAATGAAATAGAAGATAAGTCTACTCTCATTTTTGGTCTGTAACTGAATATGTGCCTTTTTACAATGGTTTTCCAGCAAACTTTTAGTGGGATTAAATGGTTTTTGTACATATTACTTTGGTAATGCTTTGTCCATTTTCTTAAGCTGAGTGTGTAAATAGTTTACAAGCCATAGACAAGCCAGAGAGTCTTGTGGAAATGAGGAGAAAGGCTAATTTGTGCTGTTACTTGAAATTATTAATTCCTTAAAATCAGTTATGATATCATAAATGAGTTGGTTATAAATTTGGTGATATAGGAATGAATTATGTTTCCTTTTATTTATTAGGAATATATTTTCAACTTAAGTTTACTTAACTCAGTACTTTGACTTGATTAACATCAGAGGGAAAAACTGCACATTGAAACAATACATCTAACATTGGCATAGATTTCATTTATTCTCCGAATACCATATTCACACCAAGGTATCCTGATACCAATAGAAGAATAAAAAATGAAAAGTATACTTAAAGGCATGTTTTTCATGTAACTGAATGGTCACAGCTTTAGGCCACTCATGAAGGTAGCAATTATCTTAAGGCAGCAAGGAAAATGGACTGCCTGGGAGCTACACTGAGGTTAATGGGGAAGCTATGGTAAAAATTCACTCCTGGGGCAGAGATGTGAATGGGCTGACTCTCTGGTTATCATAGTCTTTGGTAGACTGCTCTCCCAATTCCTTGAAGGGAAGGGACAGTGGGGGAAATCCATGGGTAACCTGAAAAGGACATCACAATAGGAAAGAGACAATAGGAAAGAATTCACCTTGAAACAAGACTCAAGGTTGGGCATGGCAACACAATCTTTAAGAAACAGATACAGAAATGTAGGAGGGAATTGCTTCTAAATGATGTCCTTAGTGCCAAATCTTTGTGACCAAGCCACCTAAGTTTTTTTTTTTTTTTTTCAAAATCCATCTGTCAGGAAGACCTATGCTAACCCATCCATCTATCAGAAATCTCTTGGGATTTCAACCCCTCAAATTGACCAGTAAACATTTTCAGACTGGAAATTTTATAGTGGATGCTACTGGGTCTCAGCAAACATTTTCACACTGTGGAAAAACTGACTTTAAGTAATTAAATCTTTATTTTGCAGTAATTTATAGTAACTCAGGGCTTCCACTGGCTTGGCAGACTCTTCCTGTTGAACCCCATCCTCTACCCAGATGTCTGGCACATAGCCTCAGGACACAGGCTTTGTGAAAGATGAAATTACTCTTGGTAGGACTTAGGGACTGCATTAACTTGATGCAATCATTGTTGATCCAACACTCTGCTTTCTGGACATAGAGAGGCAAGGTTTGTGCCCATAAATCCATTTAGCCTTGCCTCCATAGATTTTCTTACTGACTTTTGTCCTTTACATCACATGCACTTACTCATATGCTTGAGATGTCACATACCCCAGTAAATGAACAGTTCTGATTGTCTAAGCAGGGGTTGCATATCTATGGACCCCCTAGACATTGTTATCAAAAAGGCTTTCCCACAGCTATCTGAACCCAGCATATCCCCTGTACTTTCTTTTGTGGGGTCTGTCTGATGGTTCAGACTCTGGTAGTTTTCTGACTAGGCCAAGATTTTTGCAGTAGATGTGGGAAAATGCCACATTTCTCAGCTCTTCTACTTTGGGGACCTAGCGAACTGATAGGATGTGTACCAATGTTTAGCATTGATAACTTCTCCTCAATATAATATGAGTGTACTGCTCTCCTGTCCCAAAGTTTTCTCATTTAGATATATTTTTCTGCCAAATATTACAGCTCATTGCACTGCAGTTTTGTTTCATCAGGTCATAGGACAGAAATAAATTCACTCAAGTTATTTGCTGCACTTCTTTAAACATTCCAAAATTATCTTTTAAATGACAGTAAACTTGTCCCTAAACATATATTTTGATAGTCTTCTAGTCACACTTGAATTCAAATATTAAGTTTTCACACAGATGCAAAGAGAATTCAACAGTGTTCCCAAGATCTTTCTGAACCTCCATGACTAGATGAAATCAGGAACTTCAAGAAGGAACAATGAGATAGTGTAAAATACAAAATATTTTCCTTAAAATCTCTGAGTGTATTATTATTGCACTCTGGTCTCTGACAGCTTGCAATGCTGACTGGAAGAATCCAGTAATTTTTTCTTCTGATTCATTTATTCATGTTTTGATACAGGCATATACACATTCATATGGGCAAAAAACACATTCTTGATTTTCTTTTGTGGTTGTAGTTGGCTTTGAAGTTCAGTTTTCATCCTTGTAGGCAAGCACTGTAACATCAATTTTTTGGGGGGGTACACTGGGTTTTGAACGCTGTACCTACACCTTCAGTCTTTGTAACAACCCTTCTTTTTTTCTTTGAAATACTATGTTGAAAACTTTTTTCCTAGTGTTACTTCCAACATTAACCCTGCTAATCCCTACCTCCTGCATAGCTAGGATTACAGATGTGAGTCACCACCACACATTTGCATCCTCAAATTTTAAGTTGAGAATAAAATGATTATATATGAGCCTGTGAAGAAAGTTTTTTAATTGAAAAATTGATAGAATATCACAGATGGCAGCACTAATGCATACTGTGTGGGACTCAATCCACCAATGAAAATGTGGGTCTCTGTGCTATGAAATCATAAAGAATGTCAAACATTCTGTTACAGCACATCATTAAAATAGATTTATGTCTTGTGTCTGCTGATGGGTGTCTCCCATTTCACTTGCTCCTTCTCCCAGACATGTAAAACAAATTAACCCCAACAGTAGAAAGAACTCCAGTTAGATGTGATTCAGTGTCATGCATGAACCATGGTACAAA